CCCCAAAACCCCAAAACCCCAAAACCCCAAAACCCCACAGTCCAATATTTAAAACGAACATTCACTATATACTTGTTACTATTCTTATGATCAATAATGAATACGCTTGAATTTAGGTAAAATTGGGATATGCTTGACTCTCTTCACTTCCTCCTTGGATAACTTCTCCCAATCTCTTTCGATCTTATTCTTAATAACTAGTGAGCCAAAGGTGCCTAGGAGTCCAACAGCAGTTGATAAGAACAATCCATACTGTCCAAAATGTTTCGCCCAGGCCCTTGCTTTAGGTGAGTATTTGAATTAGACAATCAAGGCAATAATGAATAGTCCAAGCATCATTTTTAATTTCCTCGTGTCCATATTATGCTTAACGTAATACTGGAATCGCTTCCTGAATCTATCAACTAATAGGTCAGGGTTCTTAACGATCTCCATTAGGCTCAATTTTTATTGTCTATGCAGTGAATTATTCTTAATAAATACTTACGATTGATCATGAGGAATCAAGGATACGAACTTCAAATCAGGCTAATCCTCAGTTACTGAAGCTATGTCATCGTCAGAATGGTGTTCATCCTTGCTGCCTTGATATTTCTCTAAAAGTCTATCTTTCAAATGCATCAGACTTGGAATTAGTTGTCCCTCAGATTTGAAGAGATGACGTAACTTATCCTTTTTCACTTAGTTGAATGAAGGGCTCTTTGGATCAGAATCTGCTGACTGGAAATGATTGTCTTCATTTTCAGGACATCCTCCACTACTCTCTTGAGTGAAATCTCTGAAATCTAATCCATGAGATTGCTTTCTTTGAATGGGTAGCTCTTCAAGCATCTAGTTCAACTTAGAATGTCTCTGGGTTATCTAATCTAGGAGATCTACTTTACTCTTAGAATGACCGTGAGCCAACTGTAATTCATTGAATGAAAACTCATTCTTCTTAATTAGATTCTGATTATTAAGGGAGCTATGTTGTTTATTGCTAAAGAAATCGTCATTGTCCTCCTGTTCCTCAATAGTCTCGCTGACTATTCCTTCTAATTAACTTCTCTTCTAGATATTTTCTAGTCTCTCCTTAAGGTCATTTCTCAAGCTTGGTTTTTTCCTTAGAGTGCCTCCTCCAATCATACTGGTTGATTTAAGAAATTGTTTTTTCCTGCTAAACTCCTCTGACGCATCCTTTTAAGGTGTAGTGATGTCACTGTCGTCAGTCTCCCCGTCATTTGTAAAATTCTATGAACCTATTAGACCTTGCTTTAATCTTTTGGCATCGACATTTCTAGTCAATTTAGCGATAGCCTTCTACACTTTAGTCATCTTTTTTATTTTAGTCTTATCAGCTGGTAACATAATACTCTGTAGTTTTTCTGAGAAATTGAAGATCAATCCTTTTCTGAAAAGTGCCCCATGCACTTTTGGGCCAAGTCCGTCTTCCTTCATACTATCTAAGACTTCTTTGACTTCTTTAGGGGAATGGCAGGAAGTGAACGGCAGAATGACATTCATAAGTGTGATTGAAAAAGTCCTGATATAGAATAACTCACAAAGTATGTCATAGATTGACCTAGAATATATGATTAGACAATTAGATTTATTGATCAATAATGTTACCAATTGAGGAGTAGATTTTTAAGTTTAGGAGAAAGGTACGATATCAGGCCCTCTTGCTTTATTTTTTAAATTGATATGATAGCCATCAGACCAATTCCAGAAGTCATAATTCCTAAAAAGATTGTTGCAAGCAATCCAAATAGTTGAATCTAAAGTTGAAAACTTATAATCTAAGTAATATTACGATGAAACCAAGAAACCCAACTACAAATAAAATGAGACAGATCCTCATCTTCTTTGCATTATCCATAAGCTAAAATTTATGGTAACTCTTTATAGCATATTCTTTGGCTTGCTCAATTTCCTTATGATAGTTTTTCTTGAAATTTATGATCTTTGAGACTAGATCTTTGTCGAGTTTGAACTCTTATATTCCATCAGATTAGTCATTTTGCTGAGTAAGTGGAACTATATTCTTAGTATTTTTAGCATCTAGTACCTTTTTCCGCATGCTGTTAAAGAATTAGAATTGCTACGTTGTTCCACCTGATTGGCCAGCCTTTAACAACCCTGAATAAGGCTCAGCATTAATATAGATCTGACTATCACCCTCTTATTCTGAGTTACGATGAAGTTTTTAAGGAGAAGTATTAGTCGTACCTGATCCAATATTGTCCATTATTAATATATTTATTCTTTTCTCAGACTGGATTGATTTTTCTCTCATGGGGTTTTGGGGTTTTGGGGTTTTGGGG